CATATTATAAATTTGATTTCACACAAAAATCGACAAAACAGCATGTTTTACATTTATTACGTATTTTCCCAATAATTTCCAATATATTTTACTTCCCTATTGACAATGAAATTACATATTCATCGATTAGAACTTAAGAAATATCAAAAACGATGACAAACGTAACATATGAGATATAAATATAATCTTCGATCTTTTTCTGAAATTATTACAAATAATTCTTGAATAAAAAAAAAGTATATGAAAAATTGACTTGTTCAGGTTTAATAAAACACATCTATAGAAATGTATATGACAGTAAGCGACGTTTCAACAATTTACGTTACATACAGGTTATATAGTGATGCATTCAAAAGCATTGTGTATTTAAACCTTGCTGCAATGTAAATTGTTGAAACTTTCCTGGTAATTACAATATCATACTCCGTAAGAAATATACCGATATAAAAAGAAAAGCTCCAAGCTCCAAGCTCCAAATATAAAAAAAAACAAAAAACATAAATAAATCAATATATTATGAGTTTAATATTTGTAATCTAGATCGATATTAAGAAATAAAAAGCCAACCAAAACAGAAATAAACCTAATACCATATTAATAATAACTCAAAATCATATTTTATAAGATAAACCAATATCAATTTTTACTAATTTAATTCATTTTCCTCATTTTCTTTTTTCATCAGCCGGTAATATTATCTCAGTGATGTTCTTCTCGGCGCGTGCCTCACTGTTAGTGAATATATTATCACGTGTCAAATGTCATTGATATCTTCTTTACAGCACGTGACTTGACAGTTCCGCTTCACGTACCCAAGTCCTTTCAAACTTTCACTTCAGTAAAAATCAACATTATTAGATTAAGTGGCGGTCTTCCGGATTAGCGAACACAGTATTTAGAAAGTTTTTAATTAAATATTCAAATGAAAACTGTACACTGACCAATTTTAACGAAAAGAACATCTTATAATATGAAGTGGTAGTTATTGTAAATATATTGCTTTCAAGGCTCAAATTGACCAGTTTGGAATAGCGAAACGAAAACAATATTATACATTGTAATTACAAATTTAAGATTTGTCACATCTCGAATTTCAAACATACAGACGTTTCAATGCCTAAACTTTACATCTCCAAATTAGCAGCATATGTTTTGTATCATTTCTTTCAAAAAGAAAAACAAATATAACAATTGGAATTGAAACAGATTGTATAGAAGCGATTATGATCCATACAAAATCTCAAAATTTTCTCTATATTGATTTCACAGCTTAAAAAAAGAGTCATTCATGGATTGTTTCTATGTTATCTCTTATCTGATTTTTAAAAATCATTTTTTGTACAGACCACAATAAAATGACGCTGTGAGTTCACAATATTTTCACGGTGCAGAAAATTGTCATGTTGACCCACTCAATACTAGTCACGTTCATGTCCTCTCAATGGTTTTTTAATTCTACATTGTTAAACACTGTTAGTGAGATAAAAAACATACACACTTCTATTGTTTTGTGTTTTAGAAATTATCTCAACTCAAACCAGCATTATACTAGATTCTCAAATCGCTCAGTGTCCGTAGTAGAATTTAAGATGAAAATTCACAATTATATACACACAGGGACCACAGTTTTTGCACCTTTTCGTTTGGTTCGACGTCGATAATTGTGTCTTAATTCGACCACAGATGTTCACAAATATCGTCGAAGTCTTATTAAACACAAATTGTGCCATCAAACAACACAAAAGATGATATACAAATGTACACATGTGTACAAAAGTTCATAACACAAACTGGAAAAGTTATTTAACAAGTCAGTTTTTTTTAGACCTTTTCGTTTGGTCTGACGTTCATGGTAGATGTTGGTATTTGCGGGCTGTACATGGGGTGGGGCATTGTGTGGGGTTTATCGTGAGGGGAGGGGTGGGGCAGACGAGAAAACGAGGAGGAAAACGTATCTAAGTATTGCGGCTGAGTTTGGTTTAAATAGTTAATTATTCTTCTCATCTCTTCCAAAGCGTTGGCCTGCATTAAAATATAATTCTTAGCTAGTAACATAGTGGCTATTTTTGAGAGTTTTCTCACCGATGGAGAATGGGCGTAGGGAATAACTGATCGTAATTCATCTAAAGCGTCATTTAAATCATGCATTCGTCTTCTCTCACGTGAATTAACTCCAAGACGTATCACTTTGCTTTCTTTATTTTTGGGTTTTGATTTTCCCGGAAGTCTGTCTTGAGAGTAGTCTTCACCTATTTTACCCAGGGTTGATTTAAAATCACGTTCTTCTCGGTCTTTGAATGTTTCTTCTCCGGACGAAAAACTCGAACTCTCGGCACGCTTTTCCATAAGTTCTATGGGCGTTGACGGGTCAATGAAGTCATCTTCACTGCTCTCAGACGGTTGGTATTTAGTCATTCTTTCTTCTTGCATGGACATTGTGGGGTAATCTGGAGAGAGGGGCAGACGACCTAAACTTGGACTAGGCATTTTATTGGTTCCTAAAATAGTAGCGATATCCATGGTAACGATTTTAAATTAATTAAAATACAGGATTAGAAACAGGTGCTTGTTAGATGACAATTGGTGACATTGATAGAATACTTCTAGTTGTCAACAGCAACAATACATAATCTCTAAACCAATGTCTTCTTCAAATATTTGAATTTCAGAATCAATTGATAATCTCGTCAAATCTCATCAACGAGTTATAATTAATGATAGCCACTGTCCGGATTTTGAAATATCACTTGAAATTGAGCCTCGGACAATGGAATTTGGTGAAGTCCACTTCTGATTGTATGTCCCCTTCCTCTCAGAATACTTCAACTAATTTTAGATTTTAAGATAAATCACCGAATACTTCAAGTTTTAAACGATTTAAATTCAAACGGCTTTATTCTGTGATAATCTTAAATCTCACACCTTCAATACGTTGTCCACTTCAAATTTTCAAAATCACCTTTGTTCCACTTTGTCAAATTTCTGTAGTCTTTTCAGATTTCAATTTGTGTACCATTCAAAGAGTTTTGTAAATCACAAAATGGTCCACTTGATATTAAATATTTCAAATACACAGTTTTACTAGAGTTTTAATTCTCTGTAAAACGTCTTTATGATAAACCAAACTTCATAAAAAATTATGAATAACGGTTCCAAATTTTTCAGGAATTATCCAAGAAAAAATCAAGCCTGTGGCACCATGAAACCAATTCCGAAAATCATCCAGTGATCCTCAAAAACAAATCTGGAACTGTCGGAAAATGTTGGACATCAGAGTTAAAGAGCTTGAAGTTTAAAATCAATTAATTTTAATTGTTTCATCAATATTCCGGAATCTCCGGACACTTCAACTTCCGAATTATTTTCCTGTTAACACAAATCTCTTCCGTCTCTATCAACTTCTCTTGTGAAAATCCTTCTAATTTCTCTGTTCTTTTAAACACAAATTTAGCCTGGAAAAGCACAAAGCAGGAATTGATTTTCTCGGCAGAGTTAAAAGCGTATGCTCGGTCCTTCTTATCCGCGGACAATCTGTTAAAACAGTCAGAAAATAAAGTCGAAATTTTATTAACAAATTAATTGAGACATTTTCAAAAGATGGTGTGAAAGCTGTGTATTGATTGGTTGAAATGTGTGAAGGCTTAACGCTTATTGGATACAGAGGTGTGACGTCTTATTGTTGATTGGTTAAAAGCGTTTGATTGACAGTAAAAAGGGGAAGTAATTAGGATCGCTGAAAACGGCACGAGGGAAGAAATCGGCGAAGAAAGTAGCATGATAAGGGTAATTGTGTGTATTTGTGAAAGTTACTCATCGACAATACAATAAAGATTAGTTAGAGGATACTAGCCACTTTGTAAGGGTTTATTTTATCACGCGACGGCCGTTACACTGTTATTCAATCAAGTCTTTAGATAACGATCGCTTGCTGCTACAATGTATCTTTCAAGTCGGTATAGGGTATACTATTTGAAGAAAAGCTGTTTGCAATGGATGAAAGTCTATTTGAAATAGATAATGAATTGGTCTATTGAAGTTTTTTTCAGTGGTAATTGATTTTGATAAAATTTCGTTTTGTTTTGTAAATTTTACAATTTTTGTATATTATTCGGAACGGGCTCCGTACATCAAACTTGACTGTTCCTGTTGGGTTACTCCAAGAATTCCACCTATTCGTTCTATTCAACACTATTGTCTCTGGTCGCCTTCAAATGGTTAAATATTTCTGTTGGGTTTGCATCGTCTCATATTGTTCCAAGAACGATAACTTATGTTTTTGAAGAAGATCTCTTGTACCTGTCATGATGAAACCCCTTGGAATTGACCACTCCCAGATTTTCTGTAATAGTTTTGTCAAGAGGAAACAACTAAGCTTTCGCATGCTACCCGAGATGAAATTCAATGATCACCAGAGTTCGACGAACTGACCAAACCATAGACGCCGTAAGATTCCAAACTTATTGACACGTCCACTTGTGGGCTTTTACTTATGGTTTGCAATTTGGATACGCAGATTATAAATCAGTTATTTTCTAGAGATTCCACACAGTTCCACCTGTACCGGCCTGACATGGTTAGCTCATCAAGAGTAAAAAGTTTGTCAATAAGTTTGTGTGAAGGTGATAGAGACGAATTGAAAGTAAAGTAGACTTGTTAACCATCTCTCGACTAATCTACTGCTTATTGATCTAAATACACACAAATTCCTCCCAATTTACCGGCAAAAAACCTAAAACATTTCAGTCTCTGACGACCGTTCTAACCTTCACGACCCCGAGTTCTTTAATCAACGCTCTCGAGAATAAATGAACAGAGTTTCAAAGCAGACAAAACAGAAAAACAAATCTTCATTTAATTCTGTCTAAGATCTATTTGTAAATAAAATGATTGGAAATTAGTTAGAAATGTCGTGAAAAATTCATCGCGACTTTCTAAAGGTTTTAAACTGAACAATTTTCTCTTGAATTTATCAGGTTTTCGACATTTTTGTTTAGCTTGCTAAAATACTTTTAATTTTTAAATTTCCACCGATGTATTTATGAATTTTTCTTAATTTTACAATATTTCGTTTCAGAATATTCGTCAATTATTTTTTTGTAGAGCCGGCTTCCCTAAAATTTGAAATTAAACAAAAAACGAAAGACTTTCAAAATTAATTAAAAATCATCAGAGGCAGAGATAACGGAAATTCTTGATAAATGTGTTGGTCAGTTTAGCCGTCTGTCTGTTGTCAATGGTAACAGAGAATAACAAACACATAGAATATGTTTAATACACTCTAGTGACTATTTATTTTATTCTTATTTAGATAAGGTCGTGTTTGTTTAGTAAGAACCGATAAATCAGTCGCCATATTGGTTATTTATCATACATATGTCTCCTTTTAATATTTCACTCGTACCAGAAGATGGAAATCAAACAAACCATCGTCGTTAAAGAGGCTAACAGTAGTGTTTAAAGTACGACCACCATGTTCCTGAAGTAGCCAATAAAATGACTTATAGATTGGATGTGCCATTACCGATTAATAACTAGTAATAAAAATCCGTACACGAAAGACATTTCCGTTAATAGAAACCAAAGTATGGCAAAATCGAGAGTAAATGTTGCATAGTAGTGAACTCCTCCGAAGAGAAGTATCATCAGGTGTTTGAAAAGAGTAAGATGGTCTGCTTTGCACACGACATCGTGTCGTTCAATGGGGTGCATTTGAAATTAGGCTTTCCTTGCGTCAATTCATTTTTGAAACATTGTTTTTTTTTTAGGTCAATAGTTGTATATTGCAGAGGTTAGACATTATTATAGCCTTTCCTCACTGGTAGAATACGTTTGTCTGTTTTCGGTTGTTTGTGGTCTATCGTGGTACATCTCTTGATTATGATTAGTCAAGTCTTGCTAATTGGTGAGATATAATAAAAAATACAATTTTTTTAGAGTTATAATGTATTGGGAAAGTAGTGTACACTTTTTGGAAGGTTTAATTCAAGTCTCATTTATTATTTGATACCTTGTCCATTTTCGGTTGTTTGCGGTACATCGTGTTGCATCTGAGATTAGTCTGCTAGTGATTAGTCAAGACTTGCAAACTGGTAGAATACTTTGTCCGTTTTCGGTTGTTTGTGGACCATCGTGGTACATCTGATATTAGTCTGATAATTATTAGTCAAGCCTTGCTAACTGGTAAAATACCTTGTCTATTTTCGGTTGTTTGCGGTCTGTCGAGATACATCTGAGATTAGTCTGCTAGTGATTAGTCAAGCATTGCTAACTGCCGAGATATTGATGTCTAATAAAAGGCATCTGTTTTAGGTAATGAGTGAATGGAGTGGATAATGAACTATTGAATATTACAGGATAAAAACAAGACGAGCAATCTGTTTAGTTCTACATCAGGTCTTGTTTCTGGATAATCTAATTATTATCTCATCCTTGGCTGTAGACTCGATCACTACGAAAATGTAGCTTGAAAGGCAACAGTGGTAAGCATGGACGGAAACCGAGGTCCCTTGTGCACAAGAAGCTTGTTAATACCAGAGTAATTTTACCGGAAGTAGAAAGATTCCCCGTTCTACCGGGAGTACAATGATTTTCCATTCTACCAGGAGAAGAAAGATTTCCCATTCTTCCGGAAGTGGAATGATTTGGGAAGCCTGTCTACTTCCGGAAGTAGAATGCTTTCCCGTTCTTCCGGAAGTCAAGACTTTGCCATTCATTTGAACTGGGAAGATTGGTACAATGTGTATATAGAGTTGCAGATATACAATACCCATAGAAAGAGCGAATACCCAAGGTTAATATCGGGAGACTACTCCAGGCTTTGTGTATGTTATTCGCTTCTTCTATTTTTTATCCAACATCATACATCATGCACCATTTCCACACCGGACACCGTGCCACTTCCAGTCGCAGCAAACTGAGTATTTTTAAAACAATGAAGTTGTTAATTATAATGAGATTTAAATGACTAGCGTAACAATTTGATTGTATCAGAACGAATTGTTTCTGGTTTGGTAATGTGTTTAAAATTGACAATACTTAATTAGAGTTTAATATCAGTCAGTCACTTCTCTTTTATGATTTAAAGGGATAACGACGCGCCTATAAATTTGCCTTTCCAGTTGATATAGCTCGATTTATATGCTCTGATCTCTTTTCAGTATATTTTCGGTCATTGGGCTTGTTTGTAAATAAAAAAGGCG